TGCAGCCCTGTACATCTAACTACCGTAAAATCTGCATTAGAAGTTGCATCCCTAATAGAAGCCGCATCCCTAATAGAAGTCGCATCCCTAATAGAAGTCGCATCCCTAATAGAAGTCGCATCCCTAATAGAAGCCGCATTCCTAATAGAAGCCGCATCCCTAATAGAAGTCGCATCCCTAATAGAAGCCGCATCCCTAATAGAAGTCGCATCCATTCTTTTTGAATAATTGAGAACCAAAAATTCACCATTTCTCTCATGATGCTCTAATAGAAGCCGCATCCCCTCTGTTGCATTTACATTCTATATTCTTGATATGTTATAGTTCTGTTTTGTTTTGTTGTCCTGAATGTTGTTTTGTTGTCATTCTTGGACAGCTCCAAATAAAATTCTATTTTATCTTATTGAATACTGCATCTTATTTATGACAGAGAGACCATGTGCCGGCATTACTCGGAATGGCAACAGCCTATATGATGTTAAAACAAACTCCTAGAGCTAGAAATCAACTGAAGAGAATCGCCAAAATGAACTGGAACTCGGTAGTAAGTATACGTGAAAATAAATTCTGTATAATAGAGTTGCAGGATTTCAGTTCGCTAAATTAATTAATTAATTAAATGACGATTAAAAAACACATACATGTTTCGGATGAGACTAAAACACATGGCAAAACCACCTAGCTGGTTGTATCCTCGGGGGGGGGGGGGGGGGACATCCAGGCATTTTCTACCGCCTGGCAACCATAACAGTGAAAACAAAGGCCGAGAACTCGCAGAAAACTGTACTTAGCGATGGTTGTTGAGAGTCCCCTTAACAGTGTAACAAGATTAGCCCTACATGTGCAACATATATACATTCGGTTGCTCAGGATTATTTTAAAGTTGAGTCTAATTTAGATATTTTCACCGGCTCTTCAACCGGCGTTCCACAGCAGCGCGCGCAGAGCCCATAGAAATACATGGTACAGTGGTACCCATCTTAGCAACATAGAACACCTTGTGACCTAGCTCTGCCCTGACAATAGACAATCGCTTTGTTTACGTTTTGACTTGTTTGCAAGAACCGATTGTCAATGCCCAGAGATAAAATAATGGCATTGTTGCCTTTCTTTTAAATATACGTGCGTGTGCGTGTGCTGCGTGCGTGCGTGCGTGCGTGCGTGCGTGCGTGCGTGCGTGCGTGCGTGCGTGCGTGCGTGCGTGCGTGCGTGCGTGCGTGCGTGCGTGCGTGCGTGCGTGTGTGTGTGTGTGTTAATAAAATAACAGTGTTACAGAAATTGCATGCTCGTGTTGATCAGTGAGGAGCATATAAAGTCACATACTGGTTCGCATCAATGTAAACAAAAGACATCATAGTGCAACGACCTATGAACACTGAAAAAATTTATCAGGTCTTAGTTCGATTTGAGTTCAGAAAGCTGAACACTGAAGGGGAAAACAAATTTACAGATAATTATTAACTGTAAATCTGACCTTTGACCTTGTGTTGATTTAAGCTCAGAAACTTCTGATTTCTGTTTTGGACACAAAGAAAAAAAATCATTGCTAATTATTACTGGTAGCTATGAATGACCTTTGACCTCATGTCACATTGCAGGACGCGGAAGAATTTGAAAAGAGTTGGTTGTTATG